GTGTGCGCGGGGGGGGGGGGGGGGGTTGGGTACCGGTGCCGAGCGCCAGGTCAGTGCAGCAGCAGAGGACACGTGTGATGGCGAGTGAGCCCGCCCGACTGCCATCTTTGGAGCTGCATCTTCCACGGCTCCTCCGTGTTGCCATGAGCCAAGGCGCTTCCACTGCTCCCCGCTGCTTGGGAGCCGGGATGCAGCCTTGGAGCAGCGTCTGAACAGTCACCCCCGACCAACCATCACTAACACGATGACCGCAGCCGCGCACCGAGACAAGTCTGGAGCACAGCTGGGGAGCGGATGCAGCCTGGGAGCAGCGTCTGAACAGTCACCCCCCGACCAACCATCACTAACACGATGACCGCAGCCGCGCACCGAGACAAGTCTGGAGCACAAGCGCCAAGGAAGATGTGCTTCGAGGAGGTCACAGCTGGGAAGCCGGGGTCTTGAGCGCTGGCCACGATCCCTTCTTTTTCTACACCAGAGTGCCCAGAGCAACGCCACCCTCCCTGCCCTGTCTGTGCTGCCTCTCCCCGTGTGAGCCCCAGGTCCCAGGAAAGCACGTGTTGGGGTAGTCGAGTCCCAGAGGCTGGATGGCTGCCTTTATTTGGACCCGGGTCCAAGCTAAGCAGGCGATGCCCCTCCGTGGGCACAGAGGGCACCTCTTTGTACGAACCTGTGAGGCCTGGAGCCCTGCTCTCCATCAGCCCGAGGACTCTCGTGTCCAGGCTGCTGGGAGGCGAGCCCCTGAGTCTGCTGTCCTCTTTCGGACTGCCACCTTCTCCCTTCTGCACGGACCTTTCTCCTTGACGGAGGCCCTTAGGGTCTCAGAACTTGGTGCCTTCTCCACGGAAAGCACGGTGTCTCTCCCCTTACCGCTCTTGTGGGAAACCTTTCTGTGCACAGGCTGCGCCCTCTCTCTCCCCAGGAGCAGAGTGCAGGATGGAGTCTGCAGTGGAGGGCAGCAGGGCACTATTGGGCCCCATCCCTCCTGCACTATCTGCTGAGCAAAGACCTGCCCTCCTCCCACCGGGCCAGAGATCAGGACCCAACCCTTCCCAGGAGGCAAAGGCCCAGAGGGAGTGGCACTGTCCCTGTCTGTCATCTACAGCTGGCTTTGCTTGGTGGGCCTCAGGGACACTCGCTTCAGCAGGGTCCAGGGGTAACAGAGAGCAGAAGGTGCCGGGAGGGCTGGGCAGCTGGGGGCCAGTGGGGAAGGGGAACCCACAGAAGTCCCAGTCTGCCCAGGGGCCTCAGCCTCGGCTCGCTAATCCACCTGCCTGGTCACCTGCAGAGGCACTGACAAGAGCCTCCTGAGCTGGTATGGGGGAGGGAGAGGTGGGCAGGAGAGAAGCTGCCAGTGACATTCGGACTGGGACACAGGGGAAGCCCGGAGACAAGAAGAGCTGGGAGAGAGACGGGCCGGCGGGGGGCCTCAGCCTTTCCAAGTGGGGCTGAGTCTGGCTGGGGGAGGCAGGAAGTGATGGGCACTCCCACTCCACTCTGTCCCCAGGGTGACCAGGCCACAATGGCCTCCTTAAGGAGGGAGGATAATGAGCTCATTAGGGCCAGCGGGAGGCCAGCTGCACACAATCTGGATGCTAATAAAGTCCTCCAAGGCCACAGCTCCGTGCTTGTGGCAGGGGAGGGTGACCATCACTTCTTCCTCTCCCTCTGAATCCCTCCTAGCCTCTCCAGATGTCACGATGACCCCTCCCTCCCGGGGTGTGGTCCCAGGGGCTTTGTAGACCCTCTTGTAGGACAGACCCAGGGTTGGACCTAGCCTGACGGCTTCCTAGTGGGTGACCTGGCGCACGTCAATGCCCTGAGACTCAGGGCTCAGCCTTCGGGGTGAGTCAGGGACACGTGGCACAGTCAGTGGCACAGTCAGTGGCAGGGAGCTTCTCCCACTGTGGGTGCTCACAGAGCACCTGGTGTGTGCTAGGCGCTGTCCAGGCAGGGAGCACCCCTACCATGACCCACGCACGTTGGGACTGGGCTGCTCACTCTGCACTGGCTGCTCAGGCCCATGGTGGCGGTGTCCCATGCCCTGGATGCAGGCTCTCAGCGCCAGCCCAGAGGACCTGGAGCCAGCACGAGACCATCCTGGAGTCTGGAAGACCCAGCACCTTTAGGTGCTCTCCAGGCCTTGCCTGGTCCTTCCTGTACTTACTCCAAGGCCTTCCGAGGTGGTCCTGACACCAATCAGTTCCAAGCTGAGCCCAGGGGCCACTGACTCTAACCTGGACCGGCCACTGGGGATTTAGCTCAATGGCGCCGCGCCTGCCTGGCAAGCAGAAGGTCCTGAGTTTGATCTAAAAAAAAAATCTAACGCAGG